GCCGCCCCCGGCCGCCCCACCTGGGTCCCGGGTACGAGGCGCGCAGTGAGTGCGGCCTTTCTCTCTAGGGGTGATGGGCTGAGGCCCTGGAGTCCCTGCAACTACCAGATGCGGATGACCACGGTACCCAAGCTTCCGTCTAATGGGCGGAAGCAGCCACTGAGGGCTCCCCGCCTCGGCTCTCACCTGCTTCAAATGGGCGAAGGACTCGGAGTTCGAGTACAGGCCGTGTTTCTCCTCATCGTCCTTTTTCCTTCTTTTTGAGCGAGGCGCTGCCTTCTCTGCAGTCCTCTGAGTCCGTTTGTTTCGCTGCTTCTTGGTTTCACTGCTTCCATCTGTTTTTGGCAACTGGCTGCTGCCACATCCAAAACCACCTTGCGTTTGCGCCCCCGAAGCCGGCTGATATGAGCGGAAAAGGCAAAGTAAGGGCCCGTGTGGCTCTTCACTGCGCGCCTGGCCCCTCCCCCAGGACATGTGCCTAATGGAGCTACCGCGAGGCGGAGGAGGGGTGCGCCTCAGAGGCCCAGACTGCTCTCCGAGGGGGCCCTTTCCCCACAGCTATTCTCAAGGACAGAAACCGTCGGCGGCCAGCGCGAGGAGCGGGCAGGACGCCGAGGAGGGGCCGCCTTCCTTGCAGGCGAAAGCCCATTCCTGGGGCCAGCCCAAGGCCTGAGCCCAGGCCTCGGCTCCCTGGACACTGGGGGGAGGGCAGCGTGGCGAGGGGCTCTGAGTGGTCTGGGTTCCCCGGGAGGGTGCTGCCCCCCTGGAGCGCTACAGCCATGTGCTTGTGGGCAGAAGACACAAAGCACAGCACAGAGTCCTTGCCCAGGAGCCCTGTCCACCTCTCTTGCCTCGCAGTGTAGCGGACACGTGACTAAGTCCCCCTCACAGAGGTTTCCGGGAGAAGGGCTATGTGCCCTCGCCGTGCGAGCACCTTCCGGGGCTGCACTCTGACCCTCACACTAGGCTTGGGGTGGCCACGGAGCTGGGGGGCTCATTAGGAAACGACTCTCTCTGCACCGACTCTCGGAGGGCTGAGAGGGTGCAGTTTCCGGCTGCAGTCACCGTCACTGAGCGCAGAGGGGCGAACTTTGCTGGGAAGGTCCAGTGCAGATGCTGATCCCCTTCCCACTGTGGGGAGCAGGACTTGCGACTCTCACCAGCTCTCAGGGGCTGGGAACGCAGCTGCCAGTGCAGTGCGTGGGCTGGCATCTGCGCACCCAGACAGCAACTCGACCCTCGGTTACCCCAAAAGGCGGGCAAAGCTGACTCGTCAGTGTGTCATCCTGCAAACCACAGGGAACCTGTTTCTGCAACACTTAGCCTCTGAACACAAGTTTCAGGGGCGCTCCCGTACTCGGGGGGCCGCTCACCACACAGACCACAGGACCGGGCCAGGTCCACACAGGCCCCACACAGTCGCACGAAAACAGAGCAAAGAGCAGGCCCGGCCCGGCCTCGCTGACCCACAGCTCCGAGCCTGAAGCTGACGCTGCAGGTGTGGAGGCCGAGAGGCCCCGCCCGCTCAACGCCGGGCATTGCCCAGCCCGGCTGAGCAGCACCGCAGGAGAGGCCGGGAGGTTGTCAGCACCAGCCAAGCGGCCTGGGGCAGGCAGGAGGCCAGGAAGTTCCTCAGGGATGTTGGGAGGAAACATGGGGGTGGAGTCCTACCTGCCGAGAGCTCTGCCTACACCCGAGGAACCACAGCACAGCCGACATGCGGCTGACGTGGAGCGGGCGAGACAGAGCCACGCAGCGGACGCCAGAGACTGGCCCTCGGCCAGCCTGCACAGCACGCCGAGCACCGCGGCGGCCCCAGACTGGCCCTGGCGTCCTCGTGTCCAGGACTCAGCCGACCCCTCGTCTGCCGCCCCGCCCCGTGAGCGTGCAGCGCGAGCTGCGTCGCGAGAGCAGGGCCCCGTCGGCGTTTCTGCTGCATGGGGGTGGCTGGGGCTGGAGCGCGCCCGCGGCATCTGGGCAACGCCACCGAGCCCCCACGCTGACGTGCGGCTCCGGCTCGCTGTTCCAGCATCCGTGCCGCGCTGCTCCACCCCACCCCCTCACAGACATGCGGGTTGGAGAGGATGCCCGCCACGCTGGGTGGCAGCCCAGGGCCGTGTGCCTCGCCCCAGGAGCGCCTGCGCCACGGGTGTTTGGTTTTGGAACAACAATGTGAGATTATCACCTCACACGGTCTAAGCCCAGACACAGCCCACGAGGGACAAGGAGGCCAGCTCTGTGAGTCAGCAGGTGGCGAAGCCGCGGGCAGTGGGCACAGCGGCTGGCACTGACCCGCCGTGGCGGACCAGAAGGGGGACAGCAGCTGCGACGCCGAGAGCTGCGCTTACCGAGGCTCCGGCCAGCTTGCGGTCCTTCACGCCGTCGTCCTCGGGACAAAGGCTGCCTTCAGGTTTGGGATTTGAAACGGAAGACGACTTTTTGTTTTTCAGCAGATGCTTCAGAAGCTCGTTGCCCAAATCCCCTTTGGCGGTGGGGGTCCCGGCGGGGCGGGGCGGGCTCTGGCCAGAGGACAGGGGCTCAGCCGCGGCTGCTCCTTCGTCCTCGCCCCCAGCTCGCCCCTCTGGCTGCGGCTCATCTCGGCCCGGGCCCTGCTGGGGCTCAGCGGCCTCCAGCTTCGCCTCCAGCGCCAAGGCAGGCGTTTCCGTTTCCACAGCTGGCCCGCCCCCCTCGGCGCCCGCGTCAGGCTTCTGGTTGGGAGCTCCTTGCAGGCAATCGGCGTCCGGCAGACTGCTCTCCACCTCAGTGCGCGGCTGGCCCACCACCTCGCCAGGGGCGGCAGGGCCCAGCGACTCCGACTCTCCCTGGGAAGCAAGAGCAAGCCCAGCGTGCGCGCTAACGGAGGGCGCGGGGGCGGCCTCGGGGACGCCAGGGGTCGGCAGGGCAGTGCTGTCCGAGTGCGGTGTGGACGGCTCCTTGGTGGATTCTGCATCATCATCTTTCCTTTTCTTCCTTGTTCTTTTCTTTTTCCCCTTCTCTTCCGGGATGATATCGGAGTACAGCTGGATGAGAGACTGGGCTGTCCCAGCGAAGCTCTGTCCGTGGGTCCCCCCGGGGTCCGGGCTGCAGGGAGGCAGGGCACTAGTAGACACGGGAGGCGCCGCGGCTGAGGCAGGTGTGAAAGGGGGCCTGACTGGGGACGGCGGGAAGCTGGCTCCGGAGAGACCTGCATGCACCTGCTTCACGGGCTGGAAGTTGGGGCTCCCGGTGGGAATGGAGGGCGCGTCAGGAACAAAGGAGGGTGCTCCCATCTGTCTGCGCTCGCCGGCGGGCAGGAAGGTCTGGGCAGGGGGGGAGTGCCCCAGGGGCCCCTGGGGCACGTTCTGTGGGGGCAAGCCCTGCCCGGCCGGAGGCTGGTGCTGGGGGGACTGCTGGGGGGGCCGGGGCGGGGGCATGAAGTCACAGGGCAGTTCAGAGCTGT